ATCTGGGCTTGGAAGAGTGAGGACAGAAGTAGGGAGATAGGATGTTTCATGTGGAGGTCCCCCCATACTGTGCCTGTTGCCTGAAATGGTACCTTTTCATGAAATCCAGTAAGAAAAAGGCCCACACCAAGGCCCAGATGCCTCTCCTCTGATATCAGGACACACTGAGGGTATCCAGGCAAAGGAAGGACAAGAGACATTTCTAATCATCTCCATTTTTAAAGTGGTACAGATTAAATCATCTAGATAGCAAAATTAAGTTTTCTGCCACTCTGTGGAAATGAAATAACTAAAACGGAAAATGAATCTGAAGTGAGTAATAAAAAATAATCATCATAAATGGTGTGAAGTGTCTCATACCATGCTGTGTGGCATCTACCCTCAGGACACATTCCCCGCTCCTAACTTGATAAGGCAAAGCATGGGGACAGCAATTATCCCAGGATGCTTTAGCAGGACTCATAGTAGAGAGTAGACAGCAATTATCCCAGGATGCTTTAGCAGGACTCATAGTAGAGAGGTGAACCTCCCCCAAATCAGCAATATGTCATCTCTGTCTCCTAGCACCCCATGCTCTGTTTCTAAAGTAAAACTGATTTGAAACTGTGATATTATCAGAAACCTTTAATATAAAGCTGGGTAGTGATTATGGAGAATTTTACTGTCCTGACTTTATCATGAGTGGGAAGCCTGGTCATGGGATTGTGTTGGTTGTAAAGAACTGTGAAGACCCACTCGGCTTAGCTCAGGTGAGTACTGTAGGGATTCACAAGGAGTGAAAGGGGATAGTTACGTGGAAATCTAAGAACAAGAACCTTAGGTAGGCTACCCTTTGCTGAGACCAGCACCACAAGGTGCTTTGGGATAAAAGGTGGCTTGGGTACTGAGGCTTGGGAGCTGTGTTCCTTCTCTCCAGATGCCACCATTCACCGTCTCGGCTCCTCTGCATTCTTTCTTCTCACTCTTTACCTGAAAACACCTGCTACATTCCTTTATTCTGTGCTGTACATGTTTTTAAACCTCTTGTCTGTGTTCCTCCTAAGCTAAGCATGAGCCACCGAAAGCCATTTCTTAGTGGGCTCAGGCTGCTGTAACAAAAACACCACAGAAGGAGTGGCTTCAACAACAGACATTTATTTCTCACAGTTCTGGAGGCTAGGAAGTCCAAGATCAAGGAGCTGGTAGATTTGGTGTCTGGTGAGGACCTGCTTCCTGGTTCATAGGTGACCACTTTCATGCTGTGTGCTCACGTGGTGGAGAGCGAGCTAGCTCTGTGGTCTCTTCTTCTAAGACTGCTAATCTCACAATGAAGGCTGCACCCTCATGACCTCATTACCTCCAAAGGCCCTACCTCCAAATACTATTCAGCGTATGAATTGGGGGAGTGGGGTGGACACAAACATTCAGTTCATAAAAGCCCACCTTCCCTTACCCAATCAAGTCAGTTTGGCTCCAGTGCCTTTTGGGTTAATGATCCTAGCTTGCTATGGAAAAGTAAATGACACGGAGAGATTTTAGGCTAACACGCAGAGGTTATTCCTGGCCCATTTATATAACCCGGACCTCGGGCCTATCACTTGACTTCCTTGTGCTTCATTTTCTTCATTTGTACGGTGGGATCTATTGCACAGGTTGTGGAGAAGCACATGTGAGTTAAGATGTAGAAAATGCGGGCGCCTGGGTGGCTCAGTTGGTTAAGCGACTGCCTTCGGCTCAGGTCATGATCCTGGAGTCCCGGGATCGAGTCCCGCATCGGGCTCCCTGCTCGGCGGGGAGTCTGCTTCTCCCTCTGACCCTCCCCCCTCTCATGTGCTCTCTCTCATTCTCTCTCTCTCAAATAAATAAATAAAATCTTTAAAAAAAAAATAAAAAAATAAAAAAGATGTATAAAATGCTAAGAGGACCTGGTAAGCACTCGATCAGTTTCAGCTGACCTGTCACCCCCCTTTCCTATTCTGTTTAGGGTAAAGAAAACAATTTGTTTATGCGACCCACAAAACCCAGCATCATCTAGCACCTACTTCTTAACATCAGCTGACTCCCTGCATCCCCTGTGTCTGCCACCACTTCAATCCCCAGAGGTGCCGTCTCCTTCCAAAGCACAGGCCTTGCCACACGTGCCCCTCTGACTGGAAGGTTCTTTCCTCCTCTCGCCACTTAATCGACTCCCACTCACGGTTCCAACCTCAACTCAACTGTTCCTTCCTCTGGGAAACCTCTGATCTCACTGACTTGGCCAAACCATGCTCTATTCTGCCCCCAGTAGTGCTTTTGGAAGTTGAAATGTGACATTTGTGACATTTGATCCTGTCTGCCTCCCCCTTCGCCCGTGGCTCCACCACGGCATGTACCGTCCATTCTGCCCACCATTTCATTGCTAGCACCTAAGGCAACACCTTTCATGTGGATCCTCAAAAATATGTTGAATGAATGAATGAGTGAATGAATAAGGGAACAAATGATCACGCTGCTTTTCTTCTCTGCCTTAAGCCAAGAAATCCAGGGTAAGAGTCTTCTTTTCCCACTGCAAGTTGCCAAATATGATGAAAAACATCTATCCAGCATGGCTGTCATATATATATATACATATTTTTACCTTTTAGGGTTATTGATGGTTTCAGAATTCTCCTAAAGACTTGTTTTGCTGGGCACATGGTCTGAAACCAAAGAGATGTAAGCAACACCTTAATGAGCCAACGAGCCACTGCACACCGTGTGCTATTGGGGGTCCATCCTGAGATGGGTGGGGGCAGGGGCTGCCCATACTCTGTACCTCCCACTGTGCTATAATACATTCTCATCCCCCCATCTCCTTGGCTTCATCTTGTCCTGGCACTGATATGAGTTGGGCTCTGTGATTACAGAAACAGAGGATCACTCTTATCCTTTGAGGATAAGGAGCCATGTGGGCTGAAACAAAGCTAGACGTGGGACCTGCCAGGAATTGAGGCATTCACCACCAATGGCCCCTCTGTCTGTCTTTCCTCACGACCTGTAAGGTGCTTCTTCCTTCCAAGTTATGTCTCTCTTTGCCTGTTTGGTCTGCACATCTCTTGCTACTGAGTGGTTTATTTACTCTGTACTTTTGGGGGGATGAAAAGGTGAGCTGGCCACAGCTTGGGGTGCCACACATTACATGGACCAGCTACCTTGGGTCAGGTGTGGCGTTGGATCCAATTGTACTATGCATGGCCACCTCGGATGTCCTTTCAGAGGAGCTTGGGAGGGGACTGCCCTTCAAAGAGCTGTGGGCATGGCTCAGTACCATCCCAACTGCAGTGTCTCCTATGGAGTCCAGTTTTTCCATTGTAAACTTTGCCTACAGTCTGACTTGGCTCTCTGGAGTTAGAACCAGCACAGCATATGCTCAAAGAATAGTTGTCTCTTACAAAAAGAAATGTTAAAATGTATAGTAAAATAAAACAAAACATAAAAGGGCTATTTAAATAACATTTATTTAATTTTTGAATAGGTAATATAATCATAATAGTTAAAAGTTTAAAAATTATGGAATAGTATATAGTAATAATTCTTTCTCCCACCCTTGTCCCCTCTCTATCCAATACCACACTCCATCCAAAAGAAGTAGCCACTGTTGTTTCTTAACTTTATTTTTTTAAGTAAATATAGACTGAAAAGAAATTGCAAAACTAGGGGTGCCCGGGTGGCTCAGTCATTAAGCGTCTGCCTTCAGCTCAGGTCATGATCCCCAGGTCCTGGGATCGAGCCCCGCATCGGGCTCCCTGCTCCGTGGGAAGCCTGCTTCTCCCTCTCCCACTCCCCTGCTTGTGTTGCCTCTCTCGCTGTGTCTCTCTCTCTGTCAAATAAATAAATAAAATCTTAAAAAAAAAAAAGAAATTGCAAAACTAGTACAGAGAAGTCCTGATATAACCACTGTTTTAAATTTATGGTATAATCCTTCATGAAATGTTATGAATATACAAACACATATAAATATGTAGTATTTTCTGCTGTTTTTATTCCAGTGGTATCATAGTATACATAGTTGGCTATAGACTGGATGTTTGTGTTTTCCCCCCTAAATTCAGATGTTGAAGCTCTAACCCTGCCCCCCATGTGGTGGTATGAGGAGGCGGGGTCTTTGGGAGTTATTTAGGTTTCTGTGAGGTCATGAGGGTGGAACCCTCATGAGTGACATTAGTGCCCCTGTAAAAAGAAACATGAGAGAGATGGTCTCCCTTTTCTACCATGTGAGGACACAGGAAGAAAGCATCCACCTTCAAATCAGGAAGAATACCCTCACTAGGAACCAACTTGGGCCCCATCTTGATCTTGGACTTCCCAGCTTCAAGGATGGTGAGAAAAAAATTTCTGTCTAAGCCACTTCACCTGTGGTATTTTTGTTATAGAGACCCAAACCAACATTTGCTAAATCAATGTTAAGACAGCTGCTTAAAAACAAAAACAAACAAACCCTATCTAAGTTATATAATTAACCAAGCTGTCATTTTTAATGATTTTGGATCACTTTTCCTGGATCGAAAAGTTTTTCTTTAATGCAAAATATGATAATTTCTTTGCTCTCTCTGTTGCCTCGGGCCTCATTTAAAAAAAATTCAAAGCCTCACGGCAGTGTTTCACAAATATGCGATTTTTAAAATGCAGATTACCAGGTCTTTCCCCCCAGAAATTTTCTTTCACTAGATCTGAGTTGGTGCCTGGACATCTCCTCTTTTAAAAACAAGTTCCCCAGGTGATTCCTAGCTTCAGGCAAGTTGAAGACACATTGCTCTTGGAGAAAGTTATGCAGGAGGAAGACCAAACCCCTTGGACCACTGTTAGCAAGATCTGGTGCATTAAAGCGTTTACTCAGATCCCGGCAATTATTGTCTAGGAATATATTGATTGAGCACAATTTTAAAAAGTGGATGCACCTGTGCATTACCAAACCCACAACACACCCTGAATGCACACGCCGTGATCTTTGCTCCTTTGCAAAGTCCTCCTAGAGTCAGAGAGTTCACCTGGTTCCTCCCACGGCGGCACACTGCTCTCTTCCCTCATCCCATCTCCCAGCATTCGTCATTCCTGGCTCTGTTTGTTTAAATACCGTGTGGGAAGAGTGGGCCCCGTTCAGAGTCAGTCTTATGACCATGTTTTGCCTGACTCCAGTCTTGGTAGCAGTTGTCTGCATTTTGATTGCCTGGATCTTTAAAAATGCTGATGGAAACATCGAGAGAAGGAAGGGGGAGACGAGAGCCAGGGCCGAGGCCCGTCCCTGGGTGGATGAGGACCTAAAAGACAGCTCTGACCTCCACCCCGTGGAAGAAGGTAAGGATACAAAGCTGCTTAGCTTCCACCTTCTGCGTTGTTTTGACGAGCGCCAGTAGATAGCAGGGCTTAGGGAGAGGAGGAAACACTCAGGACAGTTTCATCAGCTACCTCTACTGTGCAAATTAGTGTGTGACAGAGACAAACCATTTCTCTCAGGTGGTCAGCTTGGCACCTGCTGGCACTAACCCCCCTTGATTTCTGGATAAAGAGTCAGCAAAGGGCTGTTGAGGGGTTGACATTTTCCCTGACCCCAATCCTGTTCTGGCTGTTAAAATCTTCCTGAAGGGGCACATCCCCGGCTGCTGGTAGCCATGGGGGAAGTGGTCAGGTCTGAATCAAAGACTTGGAAATGTAAAAAGTGGCATGGGTCCAGGCGCTCACTACCCTTCCTTGTGCCAGGCCCTGTGGGTTAGAGTCCAGTTGGCTGTGTCCTCAAAGCTGGGTGTCCAAATTAGCGGACAAGGCAAAAAACAGGCAAAATTCGGGAGGAATGAAGGGCGAGACTGATCATCAGGGGTTTCAAGGAGGCATAGGGGCATGGTGGGGGTGCAGGGAAAGGACAGTTAGGCCTGGCCGATTAATAGGACATGAGTAGTCATGGTTAGGAGGCATCTCAGGCAAAAGGAGCAGAAAGAGCATAAGAGCAGGGATGGAAGCCCTGGGAAAGATGCTGAGAAGACAGGAGGACTGCAGTGGCGGGGAGGACGGGTGAAAGTGAATTGGGGTGGTGAGCATGGGCCCAGCAGTCATGGCTGACCCTAAGATGAAGAGGCGGTGAGGGAGCAGGCAGGAAGGGAGAGGTTCCTGAGGAGGCTTGAGTGATCAGTATTTGAGGTACGTCTGAGGTGGGTTTGTGGTTTGTGGGATGGATTCAATTTGGAAGAGGCTCAGTGATTCTCAGCTGGACTCGTGATGCCCCCGCCCCCGGAAGAGGCCACCTGGACGGTGTGGAGGGGTGTCGGTGTGCCTATGCGCATGTCTGTGCACACCTGTTCTGAGTTGCTCTCATCTCAGGATTGGGGGCTGGGGTATACAGCAGGCACTCAGTGCTGGGAGCCAGCAATGCTAAATGTACCGCATAGGATTCAAGCCCAGGCAGCCTCTTAGCAGGCCTGCCTCTCGCTCTTTCACTGAAGGACATCCCACCCAGATGGCAAGTCGAGAAGCACTTTTCCTGAACAAAGGGACATCCGTTATGATGCTGTGTGATGGTCTGTCCTGGTAAGGATGGCCTGGGTGATGGTGGCCATGGGAATGCAGAAGTGGCCGTGGGAACACAGAGGAAGGAGTGAGTTGGGGCAAAGTTCAAGGAGGAACAACGGGGTTTGGTAATACACCGGATATGCGGAAAAGGAGAGGATGAGAGCTGGAGGCAGGGAGAGGTGGAAAGACACCATCATACATGGGGGAGGGGGGAGGATCCACAAAGAAGATGCTGAACGTCCACAAAGACGTGTTGGATTTGAGAAGATAACTAAGCAGACAGGGAAAGGCGGGCCAGGTGGGGGATCCACAGGTATTGATTGGATGCTTACCAGCATGGGGTGATACTTGAAACTCGGAAAACTGATGAATTCCCTAAGGGGATGTTGCTGGCAAGAAGACTGAGTATAGAGCTGGACACCTGCAGAGAAGAGGGCCTGTGATGGGAGAAAGGGACCATGGAGAAGACAACCTGGGGAAGGAGCTCTAGGATAATGACAACGACAGGCTCTTATAGACACTGGCTGTGTCCACTCAGCATCACATTTGATGTATAGTAAACCACTCAGTCTTCACGTCAACACAGCAAGGTGGGCACTGTTATTATCCCACATTACAGATAAGGAGACTGGGGCTCAACTATGCTAAGTGACCTGCCCAAGCAGTTAGTAGTAGAGCCGGGACCCAGGCAGTCTGTTCTGGAGTCCAGATACACAACCAGGTGCTAGGCTGCCTTTCTACTAGGAGAATCACCTAGAACAGAGGCAGCAGAAGACCAGCAGGCTTAAAAATGCCCCAAGAGATCAGAGGTAGTGTGCATTGAGGAAAGACCCCGGAATTTAAGAGTTTGGGGGATACGAGAGGGATTGGTAAGGCTGGTGGGGAACCAGGGACCAGGGGCTGGGCCTGAAGGTTGGGAACACAGAACCAAGCTGTGTGGCCCTGTCTGGTTCTGTTCTCTGCGTGCTTATTCATTCTTGCCAAATCCTCTGCCTCTTTTTTCTCTGTTCCTCACATAGAATAAATTGAACGTTTAGTGGCCTCCCCAGCAGCCATGGGCACCTCTGCTCCGAATGTTACAGTTCAGTCTCTCGTTGGAATTTTTGTTGTTCACTTAAGTGATGCTGAGATCACATGGATGATCGGTGAGAAGCAACATTTAAACCCAGGCTTCTCTGCCCCCCAAGTCCCTGCTCCTAACCCCTGGAAGGGTGGACACAGTCCAAGAGAGGATTCACTGTACCAATACCAACTACAGGTTTAGAGGGGCCTGAACCGGGGGAGGGGGGAGGAACAAGGGGTATAAGAGAAAGGATTCCATTACTGAAGCAACATGGAGAAGCTTTTGATGACAGCAAATGGATACCAGATTCAAACCATGTTGAAAGTTAATTATAAGAGACAAAGCAATAAAATATTTAGGCCCTTCTAGTGTGAGTTAAGGAAAATAATATGTACCAATCCAAATTCCTCCAGCTTTGGCTCACAAAGAATTCCTACTCCAGGTTCATAGACCAGAGAATCAGCATGTGTGTGGGTGGCTTGCGGAATGGGGGAGGGGTGCAGAGTGGCCATGCTTACTAGACATCAGGCACAGACTTCCTTTGGGGACGGTCAAACATGTGTTCTGTTAGTATTTTCAGTTTCCTGCTTAACTATAGCAGCGGTCTAAGGAGGAGAAATGACAAAGAGAAAACCTTAGATTGTCTCCCTAAAATGAGGCAAAAATCCTGCACAAACATACTCTAGTCAGGCCTGATTCATGGAAGCTCATGGAAATGGAAATAAGAGAAAAAGATATAGGGAACACATCTCATCAAGATATGTTTGTTTTAATGTTGGTAGAAATTTGTCTTCACTTAGCTTTACTGACCATCCAAAAACTATTGTCCTAATTAAAATTTTGGTTGTCCCAGATTGTCCAGTCACTACTAAGAAAGGCTTGTGTTAGCAATTTCATATAGTTTAACCTAATACACTGTGTAACTTCCAGGTGAGAAAAGAGAAAATGGAGAAAACTCAATCATACCAATGGAAGGCAGGAAAGGCAGTGGGGGACAGAAGCAAGGGAAAACCATGTGTTAGAAAAGTGCTCAGTGGTAAGGGTAGATATATGTACATAGACATGCATGTATGTGTATGTATATGATTTTATAAATTTCACACACAAATTAATACATCCCTGTGTGCATATATATATGTATATATGTATATGTATGATATATTTGTATATATATGTAGGGATAATAAACATCCTCAAGGTTTGTGGCTGGCCATTAAAAAAAAAAAAGGCTTATGTTAAAATCATCTAATGTGGGTAACCGCTGAGAATTAAAATGTTCCCACAGACTTGGGAAAGGACAGCTTTTTAGGTAACTGAGGTAATAAACAGCTGTCAGAACCAGTTTCAAATCTGTTCAATAGATCAATGACAACTCACCTCAGTAAAAGCTTAGCAAGCAGACCAATCAGTGACAGTTTCTTGCTTCTGAAAGCCAGCCAATCAGGGATAAATTCACTTCAGTACCAACCAATCAACAACAGTTTCAAACAAGTAACATTCTCCCTATAGATGGTATTAATCCTATTACATTTCTGGGAGTCCACCAATCCCTGAACTCCAAGCTTCCCAACCAAGTGGTGTGCTGTATAACTAGCCAATGGGAGAAGCAAGTACCAATTGTTAAATATTCAGGAATTTTATGGGCCATTTTTGAATTATCAGCTTGAAGTCAGGCCACAATGGAAATTGGCAAGTGCTATAAGTCAGGCTTCCCCACCCCCTCCCAGAGCTGGTTTATTAGCACACCACTATCAAGAATGCTATAAAAGGTCAACAGCATTTACTATGTTCACAGACACTCTCCTTTGCTATAGGAAGCAATAAATCTGGCTTTGTCTTTTTATTTCATTATCCTTTGACACACACACACACACACACATATACACACAGCCATTAATACTTTTACATGGTTGATTTTAAGAGGTTGGTTTACCAAGACTCTTATAAGGCCTTAAAATTTTAGGGCAAAGGACCCGTAAACTCAGATGAGAGAAAATTAGCAAAGGGAAAGGACTCGAATGGAGGCATTATCTTTGAGATCAAGTGTGGGTGGGTCCTAGGGGAAAGTAAGGATCAACACAGGGTTGGGGGGAGGAGCAGGGAAGGGCACTCCAGATAACACAAGAGATGATGGGGCTCAGAAAGAAATTCTGTCAAATTCATTCAGGATAGCACTGGGGAAGAAAAATTTCTCTCTACCCTTCAAGATTCTTCAAGCTGGTCTAAGAATTAAATTGACATGAGACAGATTAATAGAAGAAAAAAACACAATTAATTACGTGTGCACAGAGACCCAATAATAAAATTGAGACCCAAAGAAATGACCAAGGCAGGCAGATCTTATACATTCTAGACAGAGACAATAAGTTTGTGAGGAGTTGATAGGACAAAGAAAAAAATGCTCGAGAGTTTCAATTAGGAAGGAATTCTAAACAGAATTTGGGCTGAGGTAGTAGATTAGTAAAAAGTAACAAGACTTGTTTATACAGCTTTTTTTGGCTCTAAAGTCCCTGTCTCTGGTGATAAGGGTCTCTCTCTACTTTCTAGTACAGGGAGAGTACCTTTCATGAGAGATTTATTTCCTGCTTTCAGGGGGACAGGGGAGGGGCAGAGTGTCTTTCTTGTACCAGCTATTTCCCAAGTAGCTTCCGTTCAAAATAATCAATATGCCATGGTGGCACCTTTTGGGGCAGCCTGCCCTGAGCCACTACAATAGCATTACTCTATTCAAGAACTTTCCATCTGAACTCCCCCCAAACTCCCCAGCCCCCACACACCTCAGGAGCTGCTAGTGAAATATACTGCAGTGAGTCAAATGACTGACAGGCCCAGGTGGAAACAGAGTGAGGGCTGAGGTAGGTGGGAAGGAGGTGTCCTCAGGGCAGGGGTTGAGCCCTGACCTTGTTCCATCCCCACCTTCAGAATCTGTCTCCTGCAAAAGCTGCATCACCCTCAGCCTTATTAATATTGCTCCTCCACATTCCCCAAAATTCCGAGGAGGGAACAAGGATGACATGACGCAAATTGGCCTTTTAGCTTCATAGCTAGAAAATTTGGCTCATTTGCAAAGATTTTTGAAATAGAACTGCAAAAACACAAAAGCAACTTCTATAGAGATGCAGTGAAAAAAACCCCACCTTTGTGTTAAACATTAGAGAATACACGTGGCCTAGAACTTCCTGGCTGTGAAACCTAATTATGGTGCAGTTTAGGGTTCCTTGGCATTAAGGCAATGATAAAAGGAGAGTTGTTCTCGGTGCCAATAGCAAATCCCAAATGTGGCAGCACAGATTTATAGCAAAAACTGGACCATAATAGTACACGTTTGTTTTGAAATACATGGGTTTTATGCTTGAATGAATCCCTTAGAGTGGCTTGGCTCGTCTAGCATGGAGGCAGAATGACTAGTTTATAGAGGCTGTTCTCTTTCCTCTTGGAGCAGTCTGGAGGTCAAGGGGAAGGAGAAAAGGACCTTTGGTATCGGGTCACTGCCCTGCTGTTCCCTGGGTTCTTTCTCTCCAAGTCTGGCTCTGCCTTCCCCCTTTCCCCAGGCAAGATGCAGACCTTCTGCTCTTCCTGGAGCAAGCCTTTCAGGAGAATCCAACCTAGCACTGGGCAGGCCATTTGTCCGCCCTGCTCACTGATAATGTTCAGGCAGTAGCCGCTTCATTCTGCTACAGTGGGAACGCTTACCTTGGACTTTAGAAGCTGCAGAAACTGCCGAGTCATGCACCTAGGCTGCCTTTAGCTTATACAAATGCTGAATGGATATTAAGAGTTGGTAACTTACCCTTCAAACAGTTAATAAGGCATTTCGTGCATTTGCTCATTCACCACCTGCTAAGGACAGAGGCTGTCAGACTTCATAACAAATGATATAGAAGTTATCACTGGTGTTGAAAGTCTTTATTGACACATTTAATAAGTTCAGGGTTGATACTGAAGACACCTGGCTTTGGTTCAGAATTGATCACTAGAAAGCTGATAGTGTTTGCTGCCACTCCCCGATCCCACCCACTTCCTTTTAACTGAGTAACTTGGCCTTCTCATTGAATGTGTACAATTTGGGCCCAAACTTCCCTGGCTAGTAAAATGTATAAGGAATTTTCTCACTAACAGCGATGAGCAAACCATGGTACTTGCCAACACGGTATTGCCATTGAGGTTTTCAGTCATTCCCACTTGCCTTCCCCCTCCCCATTCTTCAGAGACCTAGGAGTGAAGTATGTGCATGTGAGTGAAGGAGAAAGCTAATCCTCTACCTGAATTCTGCCTGGAATGTTCCAGACCCTCAGGGCCAGGCACTGGATCCTCTTGCTCTCTTCATTCTGTTCCTGTTGTCATTCTCTTCTTTGTGTGAGGGTACCCAAAGTGACATCCCACCTTCTGGACTCAGACTTTTACTTTCACACGAGACATCTCTGCTTGAACAACTCACAGGCATCTCAAATGTGATGGACTGGTGATCCCTACCTCTACTTCCCCCAGATGGTTCATTGCTCATCCTCTATCTCAGTAGATGGTCCCACGGTCTCCCCAGGTGCTAAAGCCCACCACCTGGGTCTCATCCTTAGTCCCTCTCTCCCACCACTCCAGCCACACACTTCAGCAGGTCTCATCATTTGTGTCTCCAAGATGCTCCAAGAATTTGTCATTCTTTTGTTGCACACCTAGTCTGGGCCAACATTATCCCACCCTGGCTATTGCAGTGGTTTCTCGATGGTTCTTCCTCCTTCACTTTTGTCTCCCTCCAATATACACCTCACCCTGTTGTGTTTTTTCTTACTCTTTGTTTTATGTTGCTTATATGTTGCTTTTTCCTTGCTCCATTCCAGATATTTTCTTCTGAGTTATCTTCCTGGTCACTAATTTTTTCTTTAGGTATGTATATCCTGCTTTAAATCCATAAATTAAGTTCTTAATTCTATTACTTTATTTTTCAGTTCTAGAAGTTTATTTTTTCATATTTTCTATGTCACCTTTATCTTTTCCTGTACCCTACAGATTTATATAAGTTTGTGTTTTTTTCCCTCTAAACCTAGTAATCAAAATTGTTTTATCTTTTGAGTCTGATAATTCCAATATTTGGAGACGTTTTTAAATATCAACTCTGTTGTTTCTTGCTCAAAATGTTTTCTTTTTATGATTGATTGTATTTGGTGGGTTGCTAGTAACTGTAGTTAAAATTTTTGTATATTGGCATTTGCTTCTGTTAGGCAATGGAGGTATTTTCAGGCAGGACCACCTAATTCAAGTTTGAGGCAGGACCCACCAAATGGTATAACCCCTTGGGGGCTGTTATACTTATAATCCATGCTTTCTTTAAGGATGTAATCTTGGGGTCCCAGCTTATTAGCCTTCTCACTGTGTGTGGGTCTGGGCTTTGATTCTTGTTCCCCACAACCCCTGAAAATATAAAAATAAAAATTCAAATATGTAGAGATTGGCAAATCCTATCAAAGGAAATGTGGCTTCTTTGCTTACTTGCCTCTGCAGGCTCATATTCCCCTTCAGTTTTGGCCTAGGAATTTCTTACTATGTTGTCAGCAATTCGTTGATTTTTTAGAAGACTTTAAAGATACTTTATCTCATGATCTTAGTGGTTTCCAGCTAGTGGGATATTGTTTCAAATACACCAGTTCACCATTAATAGAAATTTTCATTCTTCATCTTTGTGTAGGTAAAATTTTCTTTTTCTTGATTTTTAACCAGTGTGGAACTTGGATAGCCAATAGTCAAGATCAGAGTTCAGGATTCTGTGGACTCATTCTTTTCATTTTCCCTGATGCTTTTGAAATGATAATCTTGCAGACATTTTTGAGAACTTTATTTCCTTCTCCGTCATAAGGCACCTTATGACTGTAGGGGAGGAAAAATAATTTTCCCTCTACCCTTTTAGCTTCTTGGCTGAGACAGCCCCCCCACCCCAATCCCATAATAAAAGACAGATTAAGAAGAGAGAGAGAAAAAAAAAGAGCTTAATAACATGTATACCTCCTGTATACATGGGACAGATCCAGGAAAATTGAGTAAGTCCCTGAAATGGCCCAAGCCACCACCTTAATTACCATCTTCAACTAAAAACAAAAGAAAGATGTTGGGGGAGGAGGATCCAGTTATGAGAGGTTATCAAGAAGAGCACAGTGTTTTAAACAAGGGTAAGCTTGTTGTGCATATTTAAGTCCACCTTCTCCATTGATAAGAATTTCTTGTGAGAATCATCCTTTTCTTCTTGGTACAGAGAGGGCTTAGGAATGGAGATATCCTCTATAAAAATAAATGTTCCTTACAAAAAGGTAACTTTTACTCTGGTTTTCAGAACTTCTCTTGTGTCTGGTTTCTTAAAAATTATCAGCTCAATGTGATCCTTATGCCAAAAAGGCATATTTTGGGGTGGCATATTCTGCTCCCCTTCCTGACGAAGAGACATAATTTAATTTGCTGCCTTTCTTGTTCATATTTGCAGATGCTGATGACGGGCAAGACTCAGAGGAAAATGTTGAACATATTCCATTCTCCCACACCCGGTATCCTGAAAAGGAAATGGTTAAGCGATCCCAGGAATTTTATGAACTTCTCAATAAAAGACGGTCTGTCAGATTCATAAGTAATGAGCAAGTCCCTATAGAAGTCATTGATAATGTCATCAAAGCAGCAGGTTTGTAATGGTACATTGTGTCTTTGAGAATGTCAGCTGTAAGTGACAATACTACAGCAATAAATTTCAAACACAGTGAATAAAGCCCAGAGTGAACATTTATCTCTGAAGTCTTACCCAGCTGTTGACTGGCTACCAGAAACATAATGATTTCCACTTTCTACAAACTATTGACCGTTACAAACTTCCTGGGAGCCGATGTAACAACAGTTTGAGACTTCTGAAATTACTGAATATTATGATCTTTTATTAAAATTTAAAATTTCTGAACATACTATTATACACTGGAAGAGAAACATGCCCTTATTTTCCCCTCCTCTTGAAACACATGCACGCATGCGTGCACACACACACACACACACTCACTCACATTTATGTATTTCTTTTTGGAACCAAATTTTTTATATTACACACCATAATGCTCTACTACCGTTCTCTAATGAACTAGCAACATTTACCTATATGAATTTGCAAAGTAAACCACAGCAAAGCAAACCCATTTTCAACATAGATTGATATCTCCATGAAGGAAAATAAAAGAATTAAAGAAAAAGGGGGAAGGAGATGTAAGAAAAATCCCCCATTTGATTATTATTAGAGTATTGGAGTATTATTCTTATAGAAATCACATTAAGTTCATTTGCAAAAAGTATTACATGGCCATTGTGAATCCATTGCTCAAGTTGAAAGGAAGCAAGAGTAAAGCATTTTATTTCAGTTAAGAATACAAATGCACTGGCTAGTTTTTTATTTAACTATAGCAGTCCCTAAGTTCCTTCTGTGTATATACCTGTATCCATATATATGTGTGTGTGTGTGTGTATACATATCATGTGCAGATAAATTTAGCATAATCGAAAACATTAGGGAACAATTTATTTCTTATGTGTAGTGACACAAATATTTAGTGGACAGACAACATAGGTACCAACGGAACTGGAATCACTCTGTTCAGAAATGTGGGCTTTGTGTTCAGCTTTTGACTTGCATCTCACAATCCAGTCATGCTCTCTCAACCACAGGGAGTGGTGGGAGGCAAACAAGAGCCCCATCAAGCAGGCAGTCCTGACCCCGCTGGTGTAGAGATTATGTCATTAAGTTACTCACTAGGGAAAAAGGAATAGTTCCTTCTGAAATATCCTACCTATGGGTCACTGTGGTCTGTCACCAGGAACAGCAGGCCATCTCTAGGACAGCAGGGTGACTCGCATCAGAAGCTGGCCCTGGTTGGAATCGGAAAGAGAATTCAAGTTCTTTGGGCACTGAGATGCACTATGAAGCTTTGTCCCACTATACTGGGACTGACCCAAGTGTGGGCTGAGGGTTCCCATAGCCCATGAGAGCTGAAGACAGACTTATGTGTACTGAGCATCCAGGGCCAGGAGATCTCATGTGTCCCCAGCAGGACCACAAACCCCACAGTGCCACACTCAGAGTTCTGATACAGGTACCAAACCATTTATAGGTTTGTTTGTTTTTTACCTTTCATGAGTGTTTTATTTATTTTTTTATTTTTTAAAGGTGAATTTTGTTTTTGTTTTGAGAGAGAGAGATAGAGTGAGTGGGGAGAGGAGCAGAGGGAGAGAGAGAACCTCAAGCTTAGCGTGGAGCTGGATGTGGGACTCGATCTCATGACCCCGAGATCAAGACCTGAGCCGAAATCAAGAGTCAGATGCTTAAGTGACATTTCATAAGTGTTTAAAAGCCATTTTACCATTTAAATTTTTATCATTTTCAATTAGCTTCGTGACTTTATCCTTTTTCAAGAATATCAAAACGAAACACAATCTTGGAGAATTTGGGCTGTCAGGACTTCCCTTCTGGGTTCCCTTAATGGCCATGGTACAGTTATTTAGGAACGTTCTCCCCCACATAATTATAGAAGTGATGATAAATTCCCATAGCCCTAGAACCATTGGTCTTGACCTCAGTTAGCTGGTTTGTTGCCCCTAAAGTGATGCAGAATGAAACGGAGTGGCAGCAACATACCAGCGTCTGCGGCCAAGAACTTCATTTGCCAGGTGATCTAACTTCATTTTGAGCAAGTATGAGTTATTGTATTTATTCTTTTTTTAAAAGATTTTATTTAGGGGTGCCTGGGTGGCTCAGTCATTAAGCGTCTGCCTTCAGCTCAGGTCGTGATCTCAGGGTCCTGGGATC